GGCTGGTTTCCTGAAATAAATCAGGTATATGTACTCTCAGTAAGATTGCTTTTCATAGAGTGGTTGCATTGGAGAGAGTTTTTGAACATTGGAAGAGGATTTTGTGGGTTGTTTTTTTTTTTTTTATATGAACGCATACCTAAATTATCTGAGCCTGGCATTGGTTCACAGTACTCTCTTGGAAGGTAAAATGTTTTTTTTTTTTTCTGAAGACCTTAAGAGTAGGTGCTCAGCTGTATAGCAGTGGCTAATTTTACACTCACACACACATATAATTTTTTTTGCTATATTTATGTGCAATTTCAGTAGTCCAAGAACAAATAAAATGCTTTAGGATTAACAGCTATTATAAATACCCTTATACCTTGTACTTTCATTTTGTATTAAAGCATAGATCTAAGTTGGCATGGCAGTCACAGTGCTCCTGAAAGAAAAGAAATGACATGTTAGTAAGAACTAGCAGTCATCAGAGCCTTTACTTCTTAATCCATGGTAGTAAATACTTGCTGCTCTAATTGTATAAACTGGTTGTAGAATGGCATAGGTTCATGAGCTTGAGTTTTCTCTTATAATTTAGAATAGAGACATGGAATGTTACATGTTTTTTTTTACAACAGAGAACTTATTTCAATTCCATTGCAGATGTTACTGTGTGTGCAGCTAGGACACAGTTACGGGAAGGTATTTTAACCTTGATTCTTGATGACTGCAAATCACATCAGAGTCCATTTCATTATTACTGCTAACTGACATCTTCATGTGGCTCAGACTGAATGATTTGGTGATATCCAATATTGGTGAGTCCAATATCTCTCGATCCATTTGTCAATCAATTGACTCTGTTATTGCTTTTCCCAGAAGAGAGCCCCCGTGGCTGAAAGAAGAGGAGTAGAGTTGGGATAAGCAGAGTTTAGAGAAGTTTCCATTCTGCTTCTGTCCAAAAGTATGAATCTCTTCAACATGAGTATCTAAGTACCTCAGATCATGGCTCATCCTATGCCATACAGTGTTCAGGGAGTTTCTCAATTGAAACCTTCTATGCAGAGCCATTCTTAGGCATTGAATATTTTGCAAGGCTACTTTGGTCTTGTGCTTCGTACAGCAAATTGAATAGGTAATGTGGAAGGAAATGTGAATGTTAGAGCAGCACTTTGTTATTTGTGAGACTGCTGGCTTGATTTTTCGTTGAGCAGCTAGTAATAGGTGTTGCCATGTAATCACAGGATAATGTGCAGTGTGGTTGGATACATTCTGAAGAGCTTGAATTCTGATTCAGAAGCCTAAATTGTGGTTGTGACTGTGCTTTGCTAGTGTAGGGCATGAACTTAGTTCAAACAAAATCCCTTCTTGAAAGTTTCCAGCCATCTTAGATTTTATTTAGCTCCATTTGAAAATGATTTGTTAATGTACGTAACTGGGGAAACAGTGCTTGATTTTTTTTATTTTTTTTTATTTTTTTTAGTTCTTCATGTGATTGGATTCCAGAATTAAAAGTGGGTTGAACAAGTTTGGTGGGTTATTTCTTTCTGATGAGTGAAGAAACATTTTATAACTTGGCAGTTTATTTTACCATTTATATTTTTGGTGCCCTCCCATGTAATACAGGCTCATGTATTACTCATCCCTCCTTTTTCCCCTCCAGTGTTTTTTTGGTAACAACATCCTGAATTGTCTGAATTGAAGAGTTCCAGATAAAATTCCGTTCTGGTGCAGGAAGTTTTCCTGTTGACTGAAATAATGTTTACTCATATTTTCTAATGTCAGATCAATGTTCAAGTTATTACATGTCATTAGGGCAAATAATTCTGTTTTGTAAAATAACACAAGTCCCACATGGTGGTAGTTATGGAAGTTAACACTTTTTCCCCAACTGTGGGAGTGCTAGCATCTTTGAGAGATTCCAATTTTGGTTCTTATTTATGCTTGACATTCAATGTACTTGACATACTGATTATTTTACACCTACGTAATTTCTTATAGCTCAAGGGATAATGACAATATTTTAAACAGTTGTGAAGTGTAGCTGTATATTGTTAAGCAGATGCCACACTACAAATGGAAGGGAAAAAAAAGATGCGTAAAATAGTTCTGGAATCATTTTCTTGTGTATCTTAGGGTCAGCTGGAGGAGTTCATCATCTTGTTTGGTTGTGCAACTTGGTTATCTGTTCAGTTGCAAGGCAGATCAAGCACTACCAAAATGATTTCCTTTTATTTGTTTATGTGTGTATAAATGTTTGTGTAGAAAATATATAATGCTGGGTTGTGTGCTCATCTTATGCCCTTTGTGGTCTGGGGCATTAGAAAGCTAATCTCTGAGCAGTTTCTCAGATCTTACGTTTTCCTAAAGTTTAGATTAAAATGACAAAGTAAAATGTACTGTATGTAAAATTAAGATGATTAAACTAAGCTCATCTGTGTACAACACATACTCTTGTGATGGTAGATCTTAAAAGTAGCTATTTTATCTCTTGGTTTATAGGTAATTAGGGTATAACATGAGGAATTAAAATATAGGAAGAACAATTCCGCTGATTAGAGATGTATTTCATGTCATTTTTTTTTTCCCGTTGCAAAACAATCTCATTATCTATCTTTGTTGAGTTATATTTTCATGTAACTGTAGAGATCTGTGCAGTCACAAAAGATTTTAGGCCCTTTCAGAGAGGTAAAATCAATCTCAGGGACAGTAAAAGCAAGAGGAAAATGGTCAGAAGATGAAGCTCCTTACAGAAGTACAGCTGTTGGTCACAATTCCCTATTTCATCTAATAGGAATTCTGTGTTGAATTTAACTAACGCAATTGTAAGTGAATTGGCTACACAAAGTGTGAAGAAGCAGTGTTAAAACACTTTGTCTTATGGAGCCGTGCAAGGAGGCTTTAAGCACTTAGCCAAGTCCTCACAAAACATTTGTTCCCCAGCCAGGGGTCCTTGGAACAGCACTAAGAGTGCATTACCAGAATGGTTTGGTTGTTTTCTAGATCTTTATTTTGCAATCTTGCCACCTGCTGGTATACTCCGGCAGTAAGGGCTTGGCTAGGAACCTGTCCTAATAGTTGTATGCTTTGGTAGGCAAAGACTTTTACATCTGGGTTGTAATGAAGTTCTTGGATTTTAGCATGCGCATTCAATGTGTTTTTTCATTTCAGCTCTTTCCGTCTTTGTTACTGTAATGGCAAAGTGGTTTCTGAAAATTTGCTGAGAAAAAGGACAAAGCACTTACTGGAAAAATTCATTGTGCACAAAACCAAAGGAGTTATTTGGAGTTTAAAAAATTAGTAAAACATGCACAGATATTTATCTCAAGAGTGCAGCGAGATTCCAAATTGGTTGAAGTTTGGGATTTCTTCCCTCATTACTGTCTCCATGTTAGGTGACAGGTGCCATACAAGGTCTCTGAATGTCTTTACGTTACATATATCTGTTTTCCATCCTACTCTCATTTTTACAGACACAAGGAAGAGAAAATCTAGAAACTCTGTGTGGTTCTGGAACACCTCACCCTGGCACACTGCAAACCTTAATCTTCAAATTAAAATTAGATATAGTTTTAAAAATAATAGTGTCTGTGTCCTGATATTCATAGATAAAACTAAATTAGACAAAACTTACCTAGAACTCATAAGAACAGTTGTTTTTCCTGAAATAAGTCATGCAAATTGAAGCAGTATGAAAGTTGAATATATTTCGATGGTTTATACTTTCATGTAGGATTAAGGTGAAGACTATGAATGACTGTGAATGAATGATCTTTAAACACAGGAGCAGAGCCCTGGGGTGGCTCATTCTGTGCTGCTAATCCAAGGAGAAACAGGTGTGGTGTTACTGGTGTTGTGTGAGGAGATCTTTGTGGATAATAAAAGATGTTCTATGAAGAGTTCAAAGGGCGTTAACAACCTGGTGTTTGCGAATGGAATGTTTTTAAACCTGTCTTTATGGTGTGCTTTTGAAATGTTTGCGTACAGAACGCTTGTGTCCAGCAGGATCTCTTCCTTGCAAAATGCTGTCTGTTATCTTAATATGCCTTCTTGAGTGTGTGGTGTGTTTGTTTGCACGTCAGAACGTCGTTCATTCAGAATGATTTCAACATACAGACTTAAAGGTCTCTGAGCTATGCACTTCCAGGTTCTTGTGGTTCTTGTGTCCTACACGGAAAAGGAGTAGACTCTCCCTCCCGTCTGCTGCCAGCTGCCCACCTCTTCTGCTCTCACATCTCACACATACGCAGACAGCCCCTGTCAGATGTGCATGGGGTTCCCACTGCTCTGGCAGCCTGCAGCCAGCCTGTCATCCTCTGCAGCTGCTCCCCTGTATCATCTCACACCACACACAAAAAATTTTATTCTGCATTTTCTCTTCCTGCCCCTCTCACGTACAGGGCAGCACAGCAGACACTGAAGCTAATGTGATGAGTGCTGTCTGTTTTTCTTGCTGTTCGCCTTCTTCTTCTCATCTGTTTCTTGGCTTTCAGCTTCCCTTCCCACTTTCAGCCCTTTATCTTCACCCTCCTTGATAATGTTCTGCATTCACCCTGTGAATGCTGACTATTAATCTCAAAGGGTTGCTGTTCTGGAGCAGCTGTGCAGCTTGAAGTGCTGCAGGTTCAGATGTGGCTTTTTTAAGTATGCTATCTATTTTTGAAAATGATGAAAATACAACCAGTTGAAAGTCTTCAAAGGATTGTGTGCATTAAAAGTACTGCTTATTTGTGTATATGAGACTAAGGCAACAGCACTGATAGTTGGGTGAGACTGAGAGATATTTGGGGCTGAGGCTTGTTGTTATGTGTGCTCTTCATGTAGACTGAACTTTTTTTATCATATTATTTTACTGGGTTATGTCTGCAACTATTTATGAAGCCGGATATTTGCTTTAGTTCAATTTGTCCTATGGGATATCCTTTAGATCAGTCCACTTGTTTGTTCTAATAATTTGCTTAATTCTCTGAGGTTTGTCAAGTCTAATTACCTCTTCTCTTTTTTTCTGTTTTGAAATCCAGGCTGATTGATCAACTCAAGAAGAGCCAGCTGGTTTTGTGACTGGGAACCTAGTTTGTGACACGCTCTTGCATTTTTAGAAGACGACAGTGCGGTATGTAGTTTTTCTTTCTCCAAACATTGAAAAATGACTTATAACGTAATAGAAAGCCTAGAGAATTGAAAAAGAAAATTCCTGAAGAGTTCAACTCATATAGATAAATAGGATTGTGATTTTGAGTTTAATGTCACCAGCCAAGAAAGTAGAAGTGCTCTGTTTGCTTTACAGTAGTACCGATCAGAGATTCCTTCCATGTAACAATGCTACATTAGGATTTCAGATCATCTAAGGAGAGCTTCCCTTATTTTACAAGATCAATCTACTTTCTCTTTACACTGAGTTGTGTAAAGTGTGGGATTAGGGACTGTGACAAATGTATTGCAGCACTTGACTGCATTGAAGATGGATTATGTAATGGCTGCTGCTGAAATGAAACACATGGCTGGGAATGTAAAGCAAATGCAGAGATTGCAGTGCCACTTATTGACACCTACACAAAGGTAGCTCCAGTAGAGCTTGTGTTTCCTCCCCGTTTCTCTCCCAGCACCCCAAGACTTTGTATTAAGTAATGGTTCCTCTCTTAATTTAGATGGTATTTTTCCACACTGAAAATTTCATTCTTTACAAAAATGCATCTTCTTAAATGCAAAAGAAAATTACACACGTGAAGTGTCGGCCTCATAGTCAGTAATTCAAACAGCAGAAGACATAAATGAAAGTCGGGTGGTGTGGGTTGGATGAGCTTTATAAACATGTTAATAAAATGAAGTTGCCCAGCTTGCTCTCAATGGACAAAAGTTCCATGATTTTCTAAGTGAAAGGAGAAGGCAGGTATTTATTCTGGACTTTCTGTTGAACCATTGAATAAATGGTTGAAATGTCTTTTAAGTAGTATTGTAAGCATACAATCTGCAGTACTGCTTAATACTTCTAGGTTTTGTAAAGAAGAAGAGAAAATAAGGGAAAATACTCAAATTATTATAGAAAAGGGGAAATAGCACTTGCTATCTACTTAATGAACTCTTGGCTTATGAAATAGTAGAATGATTAAAGAAAAAATAATAAGCATTTACTCTTAAATAAGAGTTTTATACAGAAAAATGTAAGATGCCTTTCAGTGTTGATGATTACAAGATGTCTGAACAAATTTGCTTTATGACTACAGTAAATATATTTCCAGTGTGGCAGTGAAATTGATAAGCATGTTGCAAGGAGAAAAAAAAGAGGATAACATTTGCTCTTTTTCTGATACATAAACGTAGGAAACTTAGAATACCTTGTCTCACTGTCCTGCTGCAGTTCTGAGGATCATCTTCTGTCTTTAGAACGCTTCCTCCATTAAGGGATGTGCAGAAGCGCATTTAAAGCTTGATATAGGAAAACACAAAGAAATGAATAAAAACAGCATGGAAAAAAAGGGGCTTTTGAAGTTTTCTATAAGTGGCTGTGGAAGTTTTCCATAGCATAGAGCTTAAGATCTGTGTAAGTGCTGCAAAGTGCTGCATAAAAGCTAGCTTCAGGTGGATTATTTATTTGCTTTTATTCTGTAGACTAAAAAAGCTGAAAGTAACTTCTGTGACAAAACTTACAAGAATTGCAGTGTGATGCAAACTGTCACTTGAACAACTTTATTCAAAACTGTAATGTTTATATGGATACAAATTATTTAGAGTTCACTCATTCATCTCAAATTTCCAGTTGAATTGCTGCTAGGATGGTAGTTTGTATATGTAGTTCTCACATACATGTAAATGTTCACTGATGGGCTCTTTAACTGACAATCAGAGTGAAAACACAGTCATAATGCAATGGCAGTTGTAACGTAATTCAGTCAGGGTGGTGTTTTAAGCATTGCATTTTACTGACATCATTTCTGTTGGATTCCAGCAGTTTGTCACTATTGCTTCAGTGAAGGTTTTAGTGGGTGCTGTAAGCTGCGCAGAACAAATATTGTGCTGGTCTTTCAAAATCCTGGAGATTGAAGTTATACTGTTTTCAAAAACTCTTGTAAAACAAAGATCTGCAGCCCTTGAGTGTCAGGTAGTTAAATGTTTGTAACAGACTAAAAAGGTAAGACAGATTTACCAGCTGGGGAGCCTTCTTAGCTGGTCAGATATTTAAATTAGGTCTTACCCATTTTTTCTTTAGGAAAAAAAAAAAAAGCCTTCTATTTTGTTATTCCTTACAATATTTTATGCAATAACAATAAATAACAAATATTATGTTGTATGTATTACAAACAATTTATATATTACTATATACAATAGTTTTCAGTTATGTCGTGGAAGGCAAGCAGCCATGCGCAATCACGCAAAGCATTGTGCTTCTGTAGTTCAGAGTAATAAAAGACCAAAAATATTCCTAACAAATGCTTTGCCTTAAGCCTCTTAAATAACACTTTTAGAGAGCCAGTGGGTTTATAATCTAACAATACCTGGATTTCACTATTGTTAACCTTCCTCATAGTTGGAACTGAGATTGCATTTCTGTAAAGCTTTGTTTCCACTGATGAATGTGTACGTGGCACCTGTTGTGTGTGTGCTAAGTGTCAGTAGAAGCTTCCAATCACATTGACTGGGAGGCACTGCTAATTTGTGTGGGAGATTTCATCTGGTGAGGCCACAAGTTCCTAAGGATTATTTCTTTTTCATGAAAGTCACAAAGGTGACTGCAGCTGTTGTCCTCTCTGAAAACATATTCCCAATATGTAATCATATATGGTTTTATTGTTTGTTAAGGGAGGTGCTTTAGGCTGCTGTGTTGTTCCTATACTTATTAGAAATTGACTGCCAGTTATAATTGAGAATGAAGAAGGTGGAGAAATGGCTTCATCTTCAGCACCAGCTGCAGCCATGCCTGCATGGACATTGGGGAAATGAATGATACTCTTGGCTGTTCAAGAAATTATCATGATCTTTTGCTTTTGTAACTTATTCTATCTGCATTGGAGGAAAATAACTCTAACATCAAAACATGTTATTTCTAGTCTTATTTTATTGTATTCAGCATGGCTGTGATGGACACAAATTGTACGTCAGCTCACCCCTAGTGATCATATATGTGCCAACAAAATTAGTTTCTTAGGTTTGATGTCAGATAGTCCTGTCCATCTGTTTCTGTGTTACTTTTCCTGGAAGCACATCCTGTGTTTTTAATATAGGAATATAGTCTATTTTCTTTCATTTTTTAGATGCCAGTGTGGTGTCATTGGTTCAGCATGTGCAAAAGTAGAGCATTTCTCTGTCTGCAAGCACCTCCACAGTTATCTTACTTTGTTGTACAGCTAGGTTAAAAATGCCAGTATGTGTGCATGTATTTGAACTCTCTCCCAAACTCTGGAAACCTGATCTCCTTTAAATATGTTTTTCCTATTATTTTAAGACAATTACATTTTATAATCATACCATCAACACTTTATTTCAAATCTGTTCTTTTGAGAGGTTTGTAGGGGTAATTGCAACGTGATTCGGTGAGAGGATATCAGAAGAGAGTTTCTAGTTCTGTCACAGGGCTTCTGCTCAGTAAGCCTTGCAGCGGCTGGGGTCACATACCCACACATCTCCCTTCTCTGGGTGAGCACAGAGAAGAGCTGCAGATGGACGCGTTCTGTGCTGACCTGGAAGCAGTGGTTGCTAATACCGAGAAATTGCTTGCAGTCAGTTAACAGGCACCGTCGATATACAAAAAGGTGCAATTCACATCTGCTATTTGTTGCTCTGGGTTTTTTTTTCTTAGCAGCCTTTTTCATCCTACTGATTTTCTAAGTATATTACTAGATTTCCACTGACTTCTGTCTCTTTCTAGAGTTCTCAGAGCCCAGGTTAATGCTTTCTACTCTTTTCCCTTCTATACAAAGCATTCAAACGTATTTCCTTAATGTGACACCACAGAGCGCGGAGTACAATTCAAATGCTAATACGTAGAAACGAGATGTCACAAAGGAGATGTGTTAACGTTTGTCTTTGTTCACTGTTTCAAATGCTATGTGCCAAATCTTGCTTGACACGTATAACATACTACACTTACTCCTTAAAGGCAGGATAAATGCCTTTCTGAAGGTAAAAATCCTTTTTGCATTTTTTAATTCTTTTGATCTTACAGAAGAGCGAATGTTTCCTTTCATGACCCTGCCTGAGCCTACTTTGCCGATTCGTCCGCTTTCTCACTGATTCCTGTGTTAAATTTCCCTTTTTCAGGAAGAAACTGCTGGGTGAATGCATCCCGCAGGGGCAGGAATCCAGCCCCCTCGCACCTCCAGCCGGTTTTATTAAGGCACGGGAGTTTCTCCTCAGTGACTTTGGTGCTCTTTGTCAGCCTGCCCTGTAAGTTTAGCTCCTGGTTGAGGTCAGGCTTAGCTCTTTTTAAACAAAACCACAGTTCACTTATTTCTTGTTATTATTAGAATGTATATTTGCTGGCGTATCTTGTTAATCTGCTTCAGTTTTTAAGTGTGTGCTTTCCCTGCTATTATACACGGCTCATAGAGTTCCATTCACTTCATTCAGTTGTGCAAAGTAGAAAAATTCTCAATTTGCTTTCAGTCTGATCTAATCATCTTCTATTGAAATCCTATCAATTTTTCCCCTGGAGAGTTCATCAAAGCCAGTAATATTACTATCATTCTCGAATGCCTTTTTGGTCCTGGACAATTTTTGCAGGGTTGTGTAATCCACTGCACTTCCCACATCTCTTTGCCTGAGGTGGCAGAAAGCAGAAGGACTGGGTGGGCAGCAGGGCCACGCTTCCCTGTGTCAGGCTCCTCATGCCTCTGCAGCACCCTGAGATACAGGCTTTATACCTCTGGGGTTCTCAATTGCGTTCTTGGCACTGTGTGTTCCAGTGGGCCAAGTGACTTATTCTTAGGCCTGGTTTGAGATTTCTCAGTAATCTTCCTCTGCAGATGTCAGTGCTTCAGTACTGAGTGAAGTGATGCTTTGCTTTTTATGTATGCAAGCTACACACGGTCTGCAGTCAGCTACTTAAGCTTAAAAATATTTAAGAGTATGTTTCCATGCAAGGTCTTACAGAAATGCGAGCTTATTACTGCTTTTCCT